AGAATGAAGCAAAAGCCTATGGCACCAGCACGAGCTCTGCCTCCACTGGGCGTTCTCTTCCCTGTGAGAGGTGTCTGCCACCAATCCCACACTTCTTTCACCCTCAGCTTTTGCAGCTGTACGCTCCTGGCCTGCTCTCTGGACTTTACAACCATCACCTTTGTATTTAAGGCCCAACACATATCTTGTCACTACTGCTGTAAGCTGGCACCCACCCCACACCTGGAGCCCACCTGGCCACAGGGGCAGGGAGAGGCCAGGCCCGCTCTGCTTGCACTGGGCACAGCTTTTTCCTGGGAACGTCCCCAAGAGCTCTCCTCATGTGTGTCAGGCTGTGGCCTGGCACGGGTGGCTCAGGGACAAGGGCTGCTGGGGCAGGGCTGAAGTAGCTCAGCTGGGAGAGCGTTAGACTGAAGATCTAAAGGTCCCTGGTTCAACTCCAGGTTTCAGCAATGTTTTTCTCCGTTAGGGTCTTGCAGATCCCGTCTGCCTTTGTCCATCCTGCCCTGGCCCTCCTTGCTCCTTCCCCTCTTGCCAGAGCACTGCCCATGCGCTGTAGCTGCACATCTACATGTTAGAAGGAGCCTTCCTCTTGCACCACAATGCCCCCAGCCTTCCACTGGGCAGGACTCTCCACTCAAGTGTGTCTTTGGGGTGTTCTCCAGCTGGGTCTCCTTCCCTGCTCCACAGGGATCGGGATCTCTCCACTCAGGGGTCTCTGCAAAGACTGTCTCTCTCCTCATGGTCATTCTCACTGGTGCACAGACTGCTCCCCTCCTCACACACATCCTTCACCTCAACCTCAGTTCCCAGACCAGGGCACACTGCCCACAGGGAGGCCACCATCCCCCCAGTCCCAGGGAGAGGCACTCCTTGCAGCTGAGCAGCACAATTGCCCCATGTTTACCACCACGAAGGCACCGCCCCTGCGTGTGGTCAGGCTCTCAGCCTTGGAGTTAACAGCTGCCCGTGCTCAGCCACCCTGCCACAGGAGACCCCAGCCAGGGCTGTCCCAGGGCACTGCTTTGCTGTCAGGACAGGCCTCAGCGCTGGAGGAGTGGGGAGGTCCCTGAGCCCACCCCACACCCGCAGCCCCAGGGAGATGGAAGCCTGCTGTCCACCTCACCTCCTGGGATGCTGGTGGGAGGAGTGGTGCAGGGCAAGGCCCAGTGACTGGAGGAGGGGTTGTAGGATTTCTGCCCCTGTGTGCCCCCACCACACACCCTGGGGTGCCATCAGAGCCTGAGGGCACCTCACCCCAGAGAGGGAATTTCCCTCACCCTGTTGCACTGCTCCTGCTGTGGAGTTGGGGACAGACGTGGCAGAGAGGGGTGTTGTCCTGGGGGGCAGAGGAGGCTTAGGGGTATTCTCTTCTCCATCGACCTAGCTCAAAATGGGCCAGAGCATGGGAGAAGTGCCTGCAGCAAGAGCCTCCTCCTGCCCCATTTCCCTGCAGAGTCGGTAAAGGGGCAGCACTCTGCAGTGCAGCCCTAGGGCTGGATCAGGCCCCAGTGGAGAGCCAGTCCTGACTTCCCCTATCTCAGGAGGCTTCAGGTTCTGTTTTCTGCAGAGGGTCCCAGGGTACCTGGGGGACAACGGCACTGTGATTGGCACAGACACATCATGGGAGGAGAGTGTCTCTCCTGCTGGCAGGTCTCAAGGGGGCTGTAGCTCAGTGGCCGAGCAGCTCCTTTGCATGGGGGAGCTTCCTGGGTTCCATCCCCGGCACCTCCAGGGGTGCTGTTGCCCTGACTCCCCAGCCAGAGGCAGGTGTGGGCTGGAGTTCAGGCTCTGGTCATCTCCAGGCCCTGTGGGTCTGTCCTGCCCAGCCAGGGCTTGGCTTTGAGGGCAGGAGGGCGGTGGCATGGCTGGGTGTGCTGCCTCGGCTGAGCACCGTCCTGGAGGAGAAGCAGGCAGCTGTGCTGGACCTGAGCTCATGTCACTGCCCGGCACCACAGAGCCACCCCACCCGCCGCCCAGGGACAGCGCTGGGCAGCAGAGTGTGCTTCCCTGTGGGGAGCCCTCAGGGAGGGCACAGAAGTCGGCAGCACGCTCGGAATCCTTTCTGGCTGCACTGAGGGATGTGCTGTGAGAGTGCTGGTCCAGCCCAGGTGTCCTTTGGGACCAGGGCCACACTGCCCTGGTGGCTTGCCAGGGGCAAGGCTCTGAGATTGTCCTTTCTCCAGGGGGATATCCCAAACCACATGGAGAAGCACTCCTCTGTGCCAGCAGGTAGGGGTGTCTGAGCTGGATGAGCCTGGGCAGGGCTGTGGGACTCCCAGCCAGAGGAATGACATTTCCTACCCTGACCCTGTCTCCAGGTGTTTCTCCTTCCACCGGCACCACTGGCTGGAGCAGAGCCCCAGTTCAGGGAACGTGGAGCTGCTGAGGTCAGGCACAGCTCGGCAGAGGTGGGACTCGGTGGGGCCGGTGCCCACCTCTTATTCATGGGGTGTCTGGTGTCTCCATGCACCCTGTGCTGGTGGGATTGGGGAGGTACAGGCCTGTCCACAGACATGCCCAGGCAGCGAGAGCCAGGACATGGTGCCTTGGCTGCTCCCCCAGCAAAACCACTGGCAACCAAAATGGGGGGAGAGACACGGACTTTCACCTGCAGGGTGCCCAGCCCTTGGCAACAGGGAGCCCAAACTCAGAGAAATAAGGCTGCTCTCCCATGGGACTTTCCACATCCGAGCTCTTCCCAGCTGTGGGGCAGCGGTGCTGAGGGTTGGGGTCTCACTGCGACCCCCCTCAGGTAGATCCTCAGGAGCTGCAGGAGCAGCCACAGATCTGGGGCACAGTGGCAATCCTGCTTTGCTGCAGAGAAGGGACCCAGCTGGCAGAGCCAGACTGTTAAGTCCCAAAATGCATGAAACAGGTTCTTTCTGCTCATGGGTGCTGCCCCCTCAAGCTCACCCACGCCTGGGGCTTATTTCCTCAAGGAGGAAGAGGCAAACCTCTACCAGATGCCAGATTATGGGAGAAATATTACACCTATGGGAGGGCAGAGCTGGTGGGGCAGTCACACTGAACAGGCACTGGGCTCTTTTCCCCAGTTCCCACTTGGGGCACCTTGAGTGTGCAGATCAGTGTCCATACTGCCCAGAGGCCCCCACCATCCCATGTTCAGAAAATAACACTCCCCTTTTCATCTTTACTTCACTTTTATAAACTTATTTCTCTGAGATGCAGGGCTGGAGCTTATCCCAGTGAGAGTTCTCCAGGCTGTGTTTTTAATGCCCATGGATGTCACGCATCACTGTGGGGGTCTTGCCCTGGGAACACTGCTCTCCCATGAGGGCTGCCAGCAGGAAGTCTCTCAGGTGTGGGGCAGAGGGATGTGTGAACCTCGGCTCCCCCCAGGTGCCCCCAGGGTCAGCCCAGGGGTGGAGGAGCTCCCAGCAGGGAATGGGGCAACACTGCTATAGGAGAGGATGTTGGCAACATCTGCCTCCTCTCCACTCCTGCTCCAGGGCCAGATCCTGCTGTTTGCAGCACTATGGAGCTGCAGCTACTCCCCCCAGGCAATCCTGCCACAGACACCCAATGCACCTTCCAGCCTGCAGCAGAGAAGCCCATTGGGGAAGAGCCGGTGGAGTGCGGAGACCCACCAGCGGGAGCAGGGAGGGCAGTTGGGCAGTTTGGGAGCCAGGTCCTGCCCAGGTGCCAAACTCTTCTCCCAGCCTGGCTTCTGCACAAGGTTTCTGTGCCGTGGGTGCTGGGGCAGGTGAAACCCCAGCTGAGGGAGAAGGACCCTGGCTCAGCTCCCAGCAGCACCTGATTTAGTGGAGGGACACAAAATCTCCACTGCCATGGAAATGTGCCCACATGAGCATCCTCCCAGATGGGCCCTTCTCCAGGCCAGGGGCTGGACCATGGCTTTTGGCTGCTGCACGCGTCTTGTGGGGAAGCTTTCTCCATCCCCCTGGCCCTCTAACAGCACTGAGGGAGCGGTGCCCTCATCCTCAGTGCTCCCAGCCCTCTTGTACCTGTCCCACAAGTACTGCCCCGCACACAGCCCAAACTGACATCCCTGGCAAGGCAGCAGGGGGGCAGGGGTGGGAGCTGGAGGGGAGCAGGAGGAGGGTTGCCCAGGGCTGCTCCGGGTCTGCAAGGCAGGAGGAACAGCCCATGGAGACTGGGGTCCTGGCAGAGCATGAGGAGAGAGAATCCCAGCCACGTGTTTCCCAGGAGGTGGCTCTGCACCCTGTGCCAGGGCAGTGGGGAGCAGAGCTGCCTCCCAGGCATTGTGGGAGGTAATCCGTGGGCCATGATCCCACCTGGGGCTGGCTGGGGTGTTCAGGGACCTGCGGTCACCTTAGGGCTCGCTTCTGTGAGACAAAAGCCCAGGGCTCACCCTGACATGGCAGCTCTGTCGTGGCCTCTGCATGGTGGGATCGGTGTGGCCCAGGCAGGGCCTGGGGGAAAGAGCAGCTGGAACCCTTGGGGAAGGAAATGGGTGCTCCCACTGGGGTGCATCACGGGACCTATCAGAGAGTCACTTTGATTAGAAACTGCCTGTGGGCAGCAGGATGGATGTCTCTCTCACCAAGATTATTCCCCAGGGACCGTGGCCTCACGCAGCCCCACAGGCTGACCCCGAGCCCTGCTGTCCCTGAGACGTGTCCCTTCCTTGCCATGGTGTCTCTGTTCTCTTCTCTCCCTGACCAGCCTCAGGAAGATGCCCTGACACCTGGTAGGGAAGCATCAGCTCTGGGTCAAAGCCCCCAGAGGCTTTTAATAAGCAAATATAAGAATGCACAGCATAAAAATGGGAATAAAAACGGAGGAAACTCCCAGCTGTTTCTGCTGCCCATGGCTCAAGGGAGACAGTCCCCTGGTGTTCGCGGCTCTCCCAGCTGCACAGACCTCTCCTCCCTCCCGGCTGCACCCAGCTGTGCAGCAGGGATGGGCTCTCCTGGCCTGGGGCTCAGGGACTGCTGTGCACCAAGCTCCGGTGTCACAGCCTTTGCGTCCTCACAGGGAAGTGCCACAGGCACCTCTTCAGCATCATCATAGCCCATGCTCCCCAGGGACAGTGACGAGGTGTCTCCTTCAGCTCCAGGGACGTCGGCACTTCTCCAGGAGCGCAGGCTGCCCCCTGCAAGCAGCAAGGCCGGACGTTTCAGTTCACCCCATGGGGTCTGTACACCACCACCCTCCCTGCTCCTCACCACCTTCAGCTCCTTCTCCCACCCCCGGGCCTTTCAAGGAAAACTCCCATGCCAGGTTCCCCCTTCCCAGCAGGTTTGGGTGTCAGTAGGGTAGTGACTTGAGGGGCACCAGGGATGGCACCCTAGGAACAGGCAGCGCTCTCTTTCCCTCTCACCTCCAGGTGCAGCCCTGGGCCCTGCTCCCTCCTCTGGCATCCTGGGCATTTCCCACTCTCCCTGCCCAGGCACAGCATCCTCCCCCGCATCAGGAACCTCCCTGGCATCATCGTAGCCATCTGCTGGGTCACCTCCGGGCAGGACAAGGACATCTGAAAGGAGAGGGGAGTTGGTGACAGTGAGAAGATCCGTCCTGCAGAGCAGAGGATGAGAGGATGTGCAGGGACACAGAGCGCAGACACTGGGCTTGGCAGAACCACAAGTGATGCCCATATCCTCCCCTTCTCCGATGGTGACACTCAGGGACACCTCTGTCCACCCCATGTCTGCAGGGAGATCAACCCCTTCCTGCCTCCGTTACCTGGTGCTGATCCCAGACCTTTCTCCTCCTCGCTGACCCCAGGGTGGGGCTGCAGCTGGGTCAGGGACTCCTCTGAATAGGAGCCTGGAGAGATGCACAGCAGGTGTTATGGAGCAAGCCCCACTGACGTGGTTCACGGTCAGCGCTGCTGGGGAAGGGGGACCCACAGAGCTGGGGCTATGTGGGGAGGAGGGCTGGGAATTCACCCTGCTCCCCCGGGACAAACCCTGTCTCAAAGGAACTTCCAGAGCTGGCCCAGGACAGCCCCTTCCCTCGCTCCTCGGGTGTCTCATGGGGTGCAGGGGCAGGAAGAGAGGGGCTGTCCAGCTGGGACAGTCAAAGCTGACTGGGAGAAAGCTTCTCTCCTGGTTCCAGGACCTGGATGCTCTCCCCACAGCCCCCACAGCCCCAGCACCACAGGGACCACAGGCTGGGGGGCTTCAGAGGGTCAGCTCCTGGTTGGGGCCAAAGGAAAGGGTCCTGCGGATGTGCCTCCAGGGAAGACCCACACCCACCTGAGCGATCAAACCTGGCCCGTTTCTCCCACGCTGGGCTGTACCCGATCTCCTCGTACACAGCCTCGGGGAAGGGCTCCTGGGCTCTTCTGGAGCCTGTGGACAGAGGCAGGGCTGGCACAGGGACAGGCAGAGGGGCAAAGGGACCCCACTGTGCTCCCCCAAAACGGTTCCATGTGCCACCTCAGGACTGGTCCAACAGCACAGCCCCACTGCACTGTCCAGGCACAGGCTGCCACATCCCCAGTGAGGGCAGCATTGGTGTGAAGATTATCTGGGGCAGCATCACCCTCACATCATCCCTTTGGAGACAGTGCTCATGCCCCTCTGGCCTGTGCGCCATGTCCCCCTTGTCTCACCCCGGATATGTTCCCACATTTCCTCTCCACCTGGAGCTTGCCCCTACCTGCCCCTGTCCCACCAGGGGGTGGGCAGGGCTGGGCAGGGGGACAGCCTGGGGGCCTGACACCACGGTGATGGACCCTGCTGCCCCACACTCCTCCTAGCATCTCTCTTGCCCCAGAGCCCCCTCCAGCACTACCGAGAGCACTGCCAGCCTTGGCCATCCCCTCTCTGCCATTTCTCTCCTCACACCATGGCTAACTGCCCCCACCTCGGGGCTCTCTCCACCCCTTGCTGCTGGTGCCCCACAGCCAGGCACTCAACGGGGAAGCACGAGGCAGGTAGCAGCACACAGTCTCACCCTCCCGCTCTGCCTGTGCCCCTTGCTGACACCCCCCGCAGCACCCTACAGCCCTACCAGGAGGTATCTCCCCCCGGCACCTCTGGGCAAGGACTCACCTCTGCGCCCAGCCCCGGCGCTCAGCACTTGCCCAGCCAGGAGGGCCAGGAGCAGGCAGACAAGGGTCCCCAGGATGATGCACATGATGACGGGCACTGAGACTCTCCCGCTGCTGCTCTGATGGCCTCGGGTGGGATCTGCATGGGAGACAACTTCGAAGGGGCAGCACCCCAGGGGTGAGTGACAGGAAAGCTTCCACCATCCTGGGTAAATTATAGCTCTCCCCAACCCCCTGCCACCACTCCAGTATCTCCTCCTAGGCAGTTTCACACCCCAGCTAGGAGCCCCTTCCATCCAGCTGTGGGTCACAGCCTGGCCCCAGGGGTACCCAGACTCCGGGGAGGACAAGTTACCTGCTCGGGGTGGGGGTGTTGTCGTCCTGGGTGTAGCTGCAGAGGAGGAAAAGGAGAGCTGGGCTGAGAGAGTGGGTGTGTGGGTATCAGGAAACCTCCTCCCCAACACACCGTGTTTGTGTGTGTGTGTGTGTGTGTGTGTGTGTGTGTGTCTCTAGATGTCCCTGACACATCCCACCCAAATTGCCCCTCCTGTAGTGCCAGAAAGGGAGGCCGGGACAGAGCCCAGCACCTCTGCTCTGGGAGGCAGGCAGGATGGCAGAGGCAGCCCAGGGGATAGCCCTGGGGCTGCAGGGCCCCACGGGCAGTGGCCAGAGCACGGCCAGTTACACCGAGGCTGCTCCCTGCCTGGCACCGGGCTCCTGCACTCCACAGGAATGTTCTTTCTCTCGGAAGGTCGGGGTCCATGCCCGGACCGCGTGGACAAAAGGCCTTCCCTAGTTCCCTGCTAATACCCGAGCAAAGGCTCCCAGCCCTGCCACTAACCTGAGCAGCGCACAGCAGCATCTTCCTTGTGCCGGCAAGCCCCGCTGTCCCCGGGCCGGGCCCAGCAGTCCTGCAGGGATGGCTCCGTCCCCTGGCACTCCACCTGCTCCAGCCAGATGGGGCCCGTCCCCATCCCAAATGCAGCCTCATGCAGGGCAGACACCACAGGGCCACAGCCCAGCTGCCTGCACGCCACCTCGGCATCCTGCATGTCCCACGAGTCGTCGCACACCGTCCCCCAGGAGCCACGGTGCCAGACCTCCACTCTGCCCGAGCACCCGTCCTTGCCTCCCACGGCACGAATCTTCTCCCTGGCTGGAGAAGAGTAAGACCTCCCATGGCACCGGGAGAGCAGGCAGAGCCCTGCCAGACAGAGACGGGACCTCCCTACCTGTGCAGCTCGCGGAGTTGGGGCACGGCACCAGTGAGGTTGGAGGCATTTCTGGCTGTCCCCCTGAAGAAGGAAACACTGTGGTGAAGGGGCTGGTTTGGGGGATCATGCAGAAGAGAGCAGGGCTGAGCTCTGCTCGGGCCTCCCTGTACCATCTGGGTCACGGCAGCATCTGAAACCCTGTCATCCAGGGGACACGTGCAGGACTGTGGGGGGACCCTGATTGCTCATTCCCAGAAGGTCCCTGGCTCACAGAGCAGCAGTAGCTTGTCTATGGAGGGGAGGCTCTTCTGAAACATGTCTGGTCTCTTCTGAGACCTCACCTGGAGATGCCTCTGCCTCCTCCAGGCAGTGCTGGCAAGCTGGGTGGCAACTGTTGCTGGACATGTGTGGCCGCGGTCATGTTTGTGCCACTGACAGCATAAGGGTCTGGCATGGAAAGTAAAAGCCTCTCCAAGCTCTTTCTCTGTGTTTGGCCATGCCCCGTGGGAGCAGGAGCTGGGGTGACACTGGTGCCTGGGTGGCTCAGAGTTACCATTGCAGGTGATGTGGATCTCCTCTTCCAGGTATTCACATGACTGTGGATTCCAGGGCGTGGAGGGACACTGCCAGAAGGAGCTGTTTCTCTCCCCACACTGACACGGATCCAGCCAGGCAGGGCCAGACACCCTGCCAGAGGACAGGCGTATTTCCAGGGATCCTCCGTCCCCGCAGCCCAGCTCCTTGCACGCCAGCATCACAGTGTCCTGTCAGTGCATGGAGTTAGAGCAACATGCTCCCCCATGTCCCGTTGTAGAAAACCTGCAGGCGCCCGGAGCAGCCGTCGCTGTTCTCCAGCCTCAGGGCCATGAACTCTGGGAAGAAAAGGCCCCAAAGCAGGAACAGGCTGATCTGGGGCTGTGGGAGCCAGGACACCTCTACACCCCCCAGGCCCTCAGCCTGGGCAGGGGCAAGGCCAGCACATCCCCCTTGCACCCAAGGGCAGAGAGAAGTCCCGGATTTACAGCCAGCCCTGCCCTTCCCGGTAACCCTTGGGGACGGCTGAGCTCCCCAGGGACCCCCCGTGGGACTGAGGGTGTCCGTGCATGGGTGGGCCTTGGGCAGGAGCTCAGAGGCAGCCAGGGGCAGCCTTGGCCATGGCCGGCTCTCCCCGCGTCCTGCCCTCCCCGGGACCAGGCTCCCACCACAGCTCCTGAGGTGGCACAGACCTGAGCAGACGACTCCCGCATCCTCTTTGTGCCCGCAGTCGTGCTGCCCCCAGGGCCCAGCCGGGCAGTCCCAGAGAGCAGCTTCTGCCCCGGAGCAGTTCACACCATCCAGCCAGATCTGCCCGGAGCCTTCCCCGAAACGAGCGGAGCCGGCTGCCTCCACTGCCTCTCCGCAGCCCAGCTGGTGGCAAACGACGGCGGCATCAGACAGGTCCCAGCCGTCGTCGCAGACAGTCCCCCAGATGCCCTGGGAGTAGATCTCCACTCTCCCCGCACAGCGCCCAGCCCCGTTCACCAGCCGGACCCGCCGGCTCCCTGCAGCGGGTGGAAACCCCAGTCGCTGTCAGGGCCTGCTCGCCTGCGCAGACCGTCACCTGGGCGCCTGGGCAGTGCCACTCACCCCAGCAAATGACTCCCACGTCCTCCGCAAGCCCTGCCGCCAGCGCACTGCTGGGCAGGGAGGTGTTGCAGAGGGTCAGCTTGGCCTCGTGCCCTGCGCACCGGACCCCTCGCAGCCCCACGGGGCCCGTCCCTCGCTCAGGCTTCGGGGGGTTGTAGGCTGTCCCTGCCTCTCCGCACCGCAGCTGCCGGCACACCACGCTGGCCTCCTGCACGTCCCACTGCTCATCCAGGACTCTGCCCCACTCCCCATCCTGGAAGATCTCCACTCGTCCAGTCACACCGGCTCACTCCGCCCACCAGCCGCAGGGATCCAAAGCCGGCTGGGCCTGGGGAGAGCAGAGATGCCACGGCCATCGGTGGCACCGGGAGCATGGCACCCTGCAGGGAGCAGGGCGAGGGGGGATTTTCAACCAAACGGGACAAGGTGGAGCCTTGTGCTGATGAGAAGCAAGGGCAAAGCCTGGGCCCTCCCTGCAGCTCACAGCCAGGTCAGCTGCTGCTGGGGGCACCAGCTCCTGCCTGGGTGTGGGGATGAGGCTCTGCAGGGCTCTCTGTGGGGACGGGATGCGGTCGGCTGCAGCCAGAGGGATGGAGCAGAGCCCTACAGTCCCTGTCCTGGGCTCACTGCACAGTACGAGGACAGAGGAGCCCGGGCCTGGCAGTGGTGCTGGGGCCTAAGCCACTGCCCTGGGGGCAGATGCCTGCCTCCGTTCAGTTCTCAGCTCTCCCAAAGTCAAGCAGTCCATCTGAGCAGGGAAAGCCCTCCAGACGGTTCCTGGGGAAGCCAGGGTTTCCCCAAGGAGAAATTCAGCCTGATACGGCCATGGAACCCCTGCTTTTAGTGGCTATGTTGCACACAAGTTAGAAATGGAGTTCATGCAGCATTTTTCCAGCACTCACCTGAGCAAATGACAGCAGCAGCGTTCCCTTGGGAGCACGGCGAGGCCCCCAGGGTGGTCACTGGGCACTGTTGCAGGAGGGCTTCAGTCCCGTCACAGTGGAATGAGTGTCTCCAGACAGGGCCAGTCTCTCTCCCAAAATGTTCTCCTCCAGGAATGGACTCAGCAAACCCGCAGTTGAGTTGCTGACAGAGAACGTGGGCATCCGAGAGATCCCAGCGGGAGGCACAGAGGGTTCCCCAGGTCCCCAGCACCTGGACCTCCACCCTCCCCGCACACACTGTGCTGCCGTTCACCAGTCTGATCCCTGTGTACTCTGGGGACAGAGGCAGAGAAAAGAGAGTGGATTGGTGCTCCTGTACCCTCAGTAGCTGGTGGAGGGGCCAGAGGGACAACATGATTTTGTTCTCCTTCTGCAGTATTGTCATGCTGCAAACAAACCCATCAACCCTCCTGTCCTCACACCCGGCCCAGCACGGTCCCTGCTCTGTTCCCCAACCCCTACCACAGCCCCGGTGTTCAACAGCCCACCCTGAGTCCTTACCTGTGCAGTTCACAACAGCGCTGTTTGCGTGGGTGCAGGGCTGGTCCCGGGGGGACCCCCTGGGGCAGGAGGCGAGGAGGGATTCATTCCCCACACACCGCAGCTCTCCATCCCACATGGGACCCACCCCTTCTCCAACGTGACTTCCTCCAGCGACAGGCAGGGCTGCGCCACACTGCAACTCCCTGCAGAGCACGTCAGCAGCCTTGGGACCAAAGTGGGAATCACAGACACTTTTCCACAGGTTCCCGTCATGGATCTCCACACGTCCTGAGCAGTGGTTCTTCCCTTCCACCAGACGGACAAATCCTGGAAATAAATCAACTGGGAGTTCCCAGATCTTGGTGGCATTCCCATGCCCACATCCCACACCACCTCCACACAAGCTGTGACCAAAATTGCTCACTGCACATCTCAGAAGAAGCTATTTAAGGAGTGATGGTGTCACAAAGGCAACCATGTCAAGTTACACACATTCTCTCCACCATCACAGCACTCAGGGGGGTGTGTCTATTGCAGACCCACAGCAGACTCTGCGAACCACGTTGGCACCGTTGGGACCAAAGTGTGAGTCACACACCGCTGTCCAAAGGTCCTCATCATGGATCACTATACGTCCTCAGGAGGACCGGTGCCCTTAGAGCAGCCGGACAGATTCTGGACGAACCAATGACACCTGAGAGTTCCCACAGCCCTCTGGCAATACCCTGACTACATGCCAGCTGATCTCCAAGGTGGCCACAGGCAAAACAACTCTACGACATCCCCAGCTGCTCTCAGTGGGTGCTGGTGGCACAAACACATCAGCCAATGGTCCTGTGTCTGCTAAGGGGGACAACCGAAAAATAGCTCCCCATCTCACGCCCTTCCACAGGATGGTGGGTGGCCACAGGAGTCACTTCTGGTGCCTCTGGCATGGGGGCAGCTGGCCTGCAGCACTGCCAGACAGCTCCTGGGTGAACAGGAGGAGAAAGATGGCAATCAACAGACCATGCAGGGCAGGGATGGAGGGTTCATCTGCACCAGCTCAGGGACCAGGCACGGTAAGGCACCCTTGGGCAGGTTCCCACTGGCTTTCCCCAGGGACTGGGGACACCAGTAATGACAGTTCCAGCTCAGCAGTGCGACTGGCCACACTGGGCAATGCTCCGGTGCCTGACTGTTGCTCCATGAGGGCAAAGCAAGGTTCTTTCCACAATCTGAGCACCAGAGATATGGAATAGCTTGTCTCTTTACCTGAACACATCACTCCAGCATCCTCAGAATGCTCACAGTCATGTTCACCCCATCCTCTGCGTGTGCAGTCAGACAGGGCAGATTCGGTGCCATTACAGCCAACATCATCCATCCAAATGGGGCCAGATCCTGGCCCAAAGTGTCCGCATTGAGGAGCTCCAACAGCAGACCCACAGCCCAGCTGTTTACAAACCACTGCTGCATTCTTCATGCTCCAGTAGTGACCACACACGGTCCCCCACTTGCCCTGTTGTTTCACCTCCACTCTCCCAGCACAGCGCCTGCCGCCGTCCGCCAGCCTCACCTCCACAGCACCTTCAAACACCAAGATGGGATGGGTCAGGGGAGCACCGAGCCCCAGACTGTGGGTCTGGGGGAGCCCACTGCCAAGGTAGAATCAGAGGCACCAGGGTGGGAGCCCACTCCCCTCCAGGCTGTCCCCAGGGCAGTTCAGGGGTCCCTTCTATCCTCATGGGCTGTGCAAGGCTGCGGGTGCCCAGCTCCAGCCCTGCTGGGTCATTTGTGCCACCACAGACTTTGGCACTTCCTTCCACTCCAACAGCCCCTCGCCCCTGGCCCGTGCCCACCCAGGGCTCCTGCTCCTCCCCAGACAGAACCCTGAAAAGGGACCTGTCCCCACCAGGGCTCCCCCAGGATCACACGGCTACTCCTCCCCAGATCCCCCAGCTCCCCTGGACCACAGCCTGGCCTGGGCCCCTCCCAACTCACCCTCCTCCCTCAGGACTTTCCGTGTCCCCTGTGGAGCAACATGATGGTCCCAGTGAGGCCTCCCAAACCATGCCCCCTCCTTGTCCTTTGGCATCAGCCCAGCCCTGACCTTGTCTGGGATCCCCGCAGGAAGCTCACCCCTTTGCAAGCCTGTGGGAACAGTTACCCCAGTTCCCTTGTCTCCACAAGCACAACCCACCCCCGGTCAGGCCGGGGATCACCCTGACTCCGGGACAAGAGTGAAGATCCCACACCCCTTCCTGGGTACCCCGGAGGCTGGCTGTGCCTCTGGGATGACAGAACAAGGAACCACCAGTTAAGGCACCACCAGCTCACAGGGAACAGAGCTGGCAGATCCAGGGCCCCAGGGACGGTGCCCAAGGATGGCAAATCCACACCCGGGTACCAACGGCCAGAAACGTGGGAGCCCTGGAAGCAGAAAAGCCCTTCTGCCACGCAGAGAAGCACAGGCTCAGTGAACCTGTTCACTTTCTAGCCCTTGTCACATCGACACATGGGAAGAAGCCCCGTTTCCAGAGGGATCCCTGTGCTGCTCCTTGGCCCCAGGGCTTTGTGGCAGGGCAGCAGGCATTTCCCCCTGCACAACTGCACCCAGAGGAGCAGCTACAGTAACTAGGGGGACAGAGGGACTCTGTCCCCATCCGGAACCTTTCGGCAGCCGTGCACCAAATGCAGGAGGACAGAACAGATGCAAGACATTGGCTTCTGCATCTTTTCCTGTGTAACTGCAGACTGCAGGAGAAAACATCACCCCTCCTGTTCTCAGGCCAAGGCCAGCACAGTCCCTTCCCTCCTCCCCTGCCCCCGGCACAGCCCCAGTGTTCAACAGCCCACCCTGAGTCCTTACCTGTGCAGTTCACAGCAGCGCTGTTTGCGTGGGTGCAGGGCTGGTCCCGGGGGGACCCCCTGGGGCAGGAGGCGAGGAGGGATTCATTCCCCACACACCGCAGCTCTCCATCCCACATGGGACCCACCCCTTCTCCAACGTGACTTCCTCCAGCGACAGGCAGGGCTGCGCTGCACTGCAACTCCCTGCAGAGCACGTCAGCAGCCTTGGGACCAAAGTGGGAATCACAGACACTTTTCCACAGGTCCCCGTCACGGATCTCCACGTGTCCTGAGCAGCGGTTCTTCCCTTCCACCAGTCGGACAAATTCTGGAAAAATAAAGAAAATCAACAAATCAACTGGGAGTTCCCAGAGTCTTGTGGCATTCCCATTCCCACATCCCAGACCACCTCCATGCAAGTTGTGACCAAAGTCACACACTGCACATCTTAGAAGAAGCTGTTGGTGGAGAGTTGGTGGCACAAGCATATCCAGGCCCCTCTGCTCCCCTTCTCCATACTATTACAAGATCCAAATGTATGTGTCTGACAGACAGCACCAGGCACTGCTCCGACAAGCTGCTGCTGCACAAGGTGCCCTGTGCTGCCTTGCATGGTCCCCCCAGCACCGCAGTGGTGTGCACATTTTGGGTCCAGAGGAAGTGGCCCAGGTGTTAATGACTGCTGCAGCCTGCTTAGTCCCTGCAGAGCTTGGCACCAGGCAGGGCCATCACCTTGATGCAGCCATAAATGGCACCCGCTCCCAAGGGTGTGCCGGGGTGCTGGGAGGACCCTGTTAGCAGGGAGATGTCACAGAGCTCAGAAACGGTGCAGCTGTTACCATGGCTGGTGCCTGTCCAGACCCCTCCTATGCCTGCTGGGAGCGGGTCTCCTCAGCCAGGGACACAGTGCTCTGACCAGGGTGCAGAGGTCCCAAGCTAACGGTCAGGCAAAGGGGCAGGAGACCCACATGTGGCCCTGGGCTCACGCTGGCTCTGGAGGTGACAGCAGGCACAGCTGAGAGTCAGTAAGTGCTGCCCAAGCCCCTGTTTCGTGGGGCAGTGTGGGTTGCTGTGGGCAGGCAGGAGGGGCTAGGCAGCATATCAGTGCTGCCTGCATGGGGCCGTGTCCCTGCTGGGCTGTCACAGTCCCAGGGATGTAAGAGTGCCAGCCTTGTGCATGGGTGATGCAGTCGGGAGCAGCCAAAGTCCAGCAGCTGCCGAGCTCCAAGGCCTCGCAGTGCTGGATCACAAAGCGCAGCCCTGGGGACAGGCGGCCAAGGGCTGTGTGCCACCCTGCTCCTCTGCCCAGGGACAGCACTCGTGCTCCCTGAAAAGCCGGTCTGATTCAGCTGAGGTACTCATGCCTGTGAGGGGGAATGAACCACGGGGACCAGCCACCTCATGCCATTCCTCCAAGGTGTGATGTTCTGAGAAAGTCCCGCCCTGGTTTCTCCAGCACAGGGCCCTCAGCACTGTTGGCTGGGAATGGGCAGACTGGGTGGAGACCAGTGGATACCAGTGGACACACTGGGGAAGGGACAGAGTGTTCATTTCCAGCCTAAGACACTGGCTGAAGAGGGGATGAGACACTGTGACAGGGTTAGTTCACCCTAGGTTAGGCTCACTCTAGGGCTTTCCCCAGGGACTGGGGTCACCAGTAATGACAGTCCCAGCTCGGCAGTGTGACTGGCCACATTGAGCAGTGCTCCAGTGTCCGCTTGTTGCTCCCTGAGGGCACAGCCAGATCCTTTCCACTATCCCAGCCCCAGAGGTATGGAATAGGTTGTCCCCTTACCTGAACACATCACTCCAGCATCCTCAGAATGCTCACAGTCATGTTCACCCCATCCTCTGCGTGTGCAGTCAGACAGGGCAGATTCAGTGCCATTACAGCCAACATCATCCATCCAAATGGGGCCAGATCCTGGCCCAAAGTGTCCGTACTGAGGAGCTCCAACAGCAGACCCACAGTCCAGCTGTTTACAAACCACTGCCGCATTCTTCATGCTCCACTGGTCATCACACACGGTCCCCCACTTGCCCTGATGTTTCACCTCCACTCTCCCAGCACAGCGCCTGCCGCCGTCCGCCAGCCTCACCTCCACAGCACCTTCAAACACCAAGATGGGATGGGTCGGGGGAGCACCGAGCCCCAGACTGTGGGTCTGGGGGAGCCCACTGCCAAGGTAGAATCAGAGGCACCAGGGTGGGAGCCCACTCCCATCCAGGCTGTCCCCAGGGCAGTTCAGGGGTCCCTTCTATCCTCATGGACTGTGCAAGGCTGGGGGTGCCCAGATCCAGCCCTGCTGGGTCATTCACCATCCCACCACACAAGGCACCTTTTCCCACCCCAATGGCCACCTGCCTCCTGCCCATGCCCACCCGCACACTGCCCAGCCCTGCACTGGACACCTGCTCCTCCCCAGCACCCCCTGAACAGCCCCGTTTACCCAGGCCTGCCGCTTCCCATGCAACTGCCTGCTGCAGAGCCAGCCAAACCCACCCCCATGCCCAGGGCTTTCCGTGTTCCCACTGAGACGATCCAGAGGATCCCCCACCCACATCCCCTTCTCATCCCTGGTGTCAGCCCAGTCCCTGCACTGGGCCAGATCCCCCAGGTAGGGTGTCTCTCTGCTGTAGATGCCCTGGTCCCCATCTCTCCATGGGGTATAAACTGTCTTCATGGGGTCAGGGCTCCCCTGGAAAAAGGGGGCAGTGAACAGCACAAAATCCCTTTGGGACATCCGAGACATTAGCAGTGTCCCAGGGAGCATCTCTGGGTGCTGCCATCACCAGCGAGTCCACCACCGGCTACAGAGGCACAGTGCGAGGGGACAGGGGGTCCCAAAAGGTACCCCAGGACAGGGTGTCTATGAATCCAGCCAGGCACAGGCTGCCCTAGACACTGGAACCCTGCAAAAGGAGATACTTTCTCCCACCCAGATGGGCCCAGGGAAGGGCACAGGGTCCATGGACTTGAGCACGTTGTGTCCATCATCTCTGTAGCACCTGCAAAGAATCCCCATTCCCAGACAGATCCCGATGACCACACTGGTACCCGCTATTCCTGGGCTGTGGGACAAGGGAGCCGGCACTTACCCCTGCACAGCTGTACCCAGAGGAGCAGCCCCAGCACCTGAGGGGACAGCAGCCCCTCTGTGCCCATCCGGAGCCTCCTGCCTTGCCAGCACATCCCTGCCGTGCCACAATCCTGTCACAGGTCCTGGGGACTCTCGAGGACAATGATGATGGGAGGGCAATATAGCTCTGTAGAAGCCAGGCCAGCTACGGGAGGAGCCAATAAAAGCAGCAGCACCTTTTTAGACATTATCGGGAGTTATCTCCCCTCGACACAGCCCAGCCCTCCAATGAACGTCTCCAGTGCCATTCATGACCATATATGAGGGATGGCTCTGCTGCAGGTGTCACATCACTGTGGTGGTGCGGCGTCACAGGACAGGGCTGGCTGTAGTGGGGGAAATGGGTTTTTCATGCCTTGAACCCTGCTGTGTGGACCAGGAGCACTGAGCATCTCCTATACTCGGCACATCCAAGAGCCCAAGGTGCGAGTGCCCAGCCATCCCCATGCCACGGGAACCACGGGGCTGGGACGGCACCGGGGGTAGTGTCAGAGGGGGAAGGAAAGAGCCCCTGCCCCTGCTTCAGACCCCTCTGTGCTGGGAGCAGCAGCGGGGAAAGGGCCTCAGCCCAGGCCAGAGCCCCATCCCAGGAGCGCTGGCTCACCCGTCCCTCCCTGGAGAGCCCCATGGAAGGTCCCTTCAAACGAGCTGGGGCTGGGCCATGTCCCTGTCCTGGCAGCAGACAAGCAGCTCAGACGGATCCCTGACTCTCAGCATGTCACCGAGGGGCCGTTATTCCCCACGCGGGGGCTTGGGAGCTGCAGCCTGCAGGTGCACAAACCACAGCCCACGTGGCCTCGCAGTGCTCCTCGCGCTCCCCTGCGCAAGCACCCGAGCAGGAAGTCTGTGGTTTCCTCCTGGAGCCTGAGCCCGGGCACATCCCCGCGGTGCCCCCGAGCCACCCCCACCCCGACTTGCTCCAGCCAGGGCCGCAGGGGCTGCTCCTTCTGACATAGAAATTCACTCAACACTTAGAATCCAGTAGAACTGCTGAGCATCTATTCTTTATTAGCAGCGCTGGGCAGCACTGGGGATCGCTCCACCACGAGTGCTCCCACAGACAGGTACAATCACAGAGAATATGTGCTGTGAGCTTGTACATATTCAGTGGATTTCTGAGAACTAATCTACATATACATAAGATTTCCTAGAATTTATCTACATAGTCCGAGCATGTGTGATAAAATTAGGGTTAGGGTCTTTTCCCCCTCTGGTGGTCACTTCATAGTCTTCCTCACAGTGTCCGGTGATTGAACTTTGGGATTCCTTTGCCCACATATGGTCATGCAGTTAGCTCATCCATTCTTTGGCCCTGGGATGCTCCAAGAAGGTCAGTTTAAACTAATTCCCAGGTGATTATCTTGACAGTGGCGTCTTAGGCCCTTGTTATCAGGGGTACTCAGGAAACTTAAGGAACCATCTCAAGGCCTACTTAAATTTCCTGAGGGAGAAGTTGCATATTTCAAAACATCTTGATATTAATTCTGCCTAGCAGTTGACTAAACTATGTGAAGTGAAAGGAAGAAAATAATATGAGTAGAACATGCTGACCAACTAGGATTCTACCATAAACAACTTCTTTGCTCTAAACAAGAGAAATAGTTTTGGCCTTCTCTCACTTCCTTCTCAAACTTTCAGTCCTTGACTGGGCTCCATCTCCACCACTGTTCCCAAATCCGTGGTCAATTCCCTGCAGGACACCAGGGCCATCTCCTGCCAAGGGTGTGTGGCTCAGCCTGCACTATGGGACCCTCCTGGGCAGCAGAGCTTGTGTCCACATGGAAGCAGCTGCCTGGGGCGGTGGGTTTCTCTATGCTGTGCTGTACACAGCCAGTACATTGTCACTACGGCTCCACCAAGGCAATGCTGTTGACCAGTTCTTCTGGGAAATTCCCCAAATCCTCAAGCTTGTCTGCTCAGACTCCTACCTCAGGGAAGTTCAGCTTATCGTGGTTAGTGTCTTTGTTGCATTTGGCTGCCTTGTTTTCATTGCACTGTGCTAGGCACAAAGCTTGAGGGCAGTGCTGAGGATCCCCTCTGAGCAGGGACGGCACAAAGTCTTCTCCACATCCCTCCCTCACCTGGCCATAATCTCCCTGGTTCTCAGCACTGCCATGTTTGCCTCCCTCAAGCCCCCCTCCATCTCCTCCCCATCCCTGGTCCTGGTGCTGTCCGTTCTGTACTCGGTGGTGCCTCCTGCAGTAAACCCCCTCACCTACAGCATGAGGAACCAGCAGCTCAAGGATGCCCTATGGAAACTGACCCAAGGGATGTAGTTTCACTGACAACAACCTGTCTCAAGTCACTTCACATTTCCCAGAGTTTATCTTAGGCCAGGAGTCTGCTATTTTCCCTGTAATAATCCTACATATAGATAATTTTCCTGGACTTATACTACCTCTCTTGAGGATTTTTCCTGTTGTGTCTTACTCTTAGCTACCACACTGTGTCAGGTGTGACGTGTCCAATAGCAGCTCTTGAATAAAATGGGATCTCCTGGGTGCAGTGCCTGAAGGCTGGGTTCTTCCTCCAAAGTGGCTGCCAATAAAATGTCTAAGGAATTGGTCTTTTAAAATTATTTTCTCCTTACTGTTTCTCCCTGTATTTGGAGTTAAGCTCACAGTACCATTGGGTTCCACTGGACAAAAAGTTCTGCTTTTAAAGGCTCTCTTCTTGGTGTCAAGATGGTGCATGAGCTCCCCACTACCTCCTCAGGCTGCTTCATATATGCCAGGACTCATGGCATATAGCTGTCTTTATGGAAAATAATTTGGTCAGGAGAGGAGTAGGGGTCACCACATGCCCTGGGGTGGGAATGAATGGACACACATAAAGTGAAACACCCTTGAAGTTGATGTCCCCCAAAAGCAAAGCACTAAATCAAGGTATATGCAAGCAAGGACTCTGCAGTGCCCTGGGGGTCAGTGTGAACCCAGTGGGCATGGGAAAGGGAGACTGGAGAGGTGCAGGAGCTGCCTGAGGAGGCCCAGGGCCAGGACTCTTGTGCTGTGCTGGGGAGCAGGGCTGGTGGGGGAAGGGAAGGGTGTAAATGCAGTCGAGGTTAGGGACAACCTACCAGATGAATGCAGCAGAGCTAGAGACTGACTGGCCTCTGTTTCCTCCTGCCCTTTTGGCCAGCATCAGCCCTGGTGCTTGTGGGAAGGATGATCCCCCTGTCTGACCTCCAGGAGCTGCTGTGCCCTTCCGAGGAGCTGGAGCTGTGGTTGAGTGCCCAGAGTGCTGCAGCACCCTGTGGTGGGCACTGCCCTGGGGCCAGGGCAGGTGGGGAGAGCTGGGCTGGGGCTGGGCTGGGCTGGAAAAGTCCTGGAAGAGGAAACACCAGTGATACCCAACTCTACCACCATTACTAATAAAAAATAAACCAGTTTCCTACTGACACTCATGACGCACCAAGTCCCGTAGCTCTTGCCACAGCCAGTCTCTCAGCCAAGCCCCGTCTCAGACAGCTCCAGCTAGATCAGGTGCTCATGGGCTTGTCTTGACAAATACTGAAAATATCCATTGAGTGAGATCCCACCAACTGGCCAGGGTCCTTGATGCAGAGTTTGGCTCTGAGGGATTTCTCAGAACCCCAGCTCTCTCAGCCACTCCTTGTCCATAATGTGCTCCAGGCCCCAACCATCCTTCTGGCCTCCGCAGGACTCGCTCCAGTCTGTCAGGATCTTTCTTGTGCTGGGGAACCCCGTACTGGACACAGCAGTCCTGATGTGGTCCTGTGGTGGGTTAACTTTGACCAGCAGCCAGACAGCCACCCAGCTGCTCACTCACTCAGCCCACTCAACAGGACAAGAGGGAAAGCTCATGGATCGAGATGTGTGTGGGTCAAAGGAGAAACCAGAAACGATGACACTGTGGTAGGTGTTCAGTTTGGTTTACCCCAGCCAGCAGCTAAGCACCCACAGAGTCATTTGCTCACTGTCCTCTGCCCCCCACGACCCCAGCAGGACAGGGGAGGGAATTGGAAGTGCAAAAGAAGGAAAACTCATGGGTCGAGACAAAGAGAGTTTAATAGGTGAAGCAATATCTGCGTGTGCAAGCAAAGCAAAATGGGGAGTTCATGCACAACGTCCCATCAGCAACAGATCTTTAGTCATTGCTAGGAAAGTACGGCTTGGGAAGACAAATGCCATGACTACAAAAATCTTCACTTTTTCCTCTTTCATTGAGTTTGTTTTGTTTTGTTTTGGTTTGGTTTGGTTTGGTTTTTTTTTGTTTGGGTTTTTGGTTTGTTTTTGGTTTTGTTGTTTTTTATTATTTGTTGGTGGTTTTTGTTTGTTTTGTTTAAGTTTGTTTTTGTTTTGTTTTTGTTTTTTTTTTGTTTTTTTTTTCCTGAGCCTGACATCATATGGAATGGAAAATCTCTTTGGTCCTTTGGGGTCAGCTGTCCCAGTGGTGCCCCTGACAACTTCTTGTATAGCCCCAGCCTTCTTGCTGCAGGGGCAGAGTGGGAAAAAGAGAAAGCCTTCATGTTCTGCAAGGGCTGTTCAGCAACAGCCAAAACTCTGATGTGTTATCAGTGCTGGTTCAGTAACAAATCCAAAGCATATCACCCTATGGGCTGCTATGAAGAAAATCAACTCCATCCCAGCCATTTACAGGTCATACAGCCAGAGTGAGGAGTCAACAATGTCTTAATTGAATGATCGCAGGAAATCAGTGGATCACACAAGCTGGCTCTTCTGGAGGACACAGTTTCCTTGGTATTCACTGCTCATGTGGGACAGCAGCATGCTAACCACCCAGGAAGTTTCTTGTGGAGTTTGTGGAAATATTCTTAGCGCAGATGGCAAATAGTCCTTTCAGTCTGCTCACCTGGACCTGGTATTCCCAAAAGAGCTGGTGAAGGATGTGAATACCATTGTCAGGGCGTGACCATGAAATCCTGGTCTCCCAGATCCCCAGGGATGTGGAGAAGGAGAGGAGCAGAGCACAGGCCCTGGACTTCAGGGAACGAGAACTTGGCCTCTCAAGGGCACTGCCAGGGGGGATCCCGTGGGTGCAGTGTCAGGACACTGAGAGCATCCATAGGCCTCCATCGGCCCTGGCCAGCCCAACCTCGGGTCTGGGCCCACACCTCTGTCCCTGGGCCCAGGAGACCATTGAAGCCCAAGCCAGAGTTTCAACACCAGCTTGATCTACGCAGGAGGTGTACTGGTTTCCAGACCAGCCACGGACACAGCCTTGCCTGTCAATGAACCCTGTGGATTTGGGCTTTCAGTCTCACTTCCCAGCTTAGTTCTTTACGGGGTGTACAATGAAATGACACTGTGGCCTGCAAGTGCCAGACCCCCACTGATTCACAGAGGCCTGGCCTTTCTGCTTCCTTTCTTCTCATCACTTGGTCAGGTTTGGGGAGGAGAAGAAGGAAAAGCAGGGCAGGTTTCTGGGTACCAGTGACTGGATGTGGGGAGCAGAGCCTTCACAAGTGAAATGAAAAAAGCTATTTTAGCTCTAAACTTTCATTCTGAGCTCTTTTCTCAGAGGCTTAAATCTTCAGCAGCAACATGGAAGCTCTGAGATCCCTCCATCTCCTCTCTTTTAGTAATTAAGTTGACAGTACCCAAGTCAGACTTTCTTTCTTTTTTATGGCCTAGAGTACCCCCTGATCTGGAGATGTGCCAGGAGTCTTACAGAAGAATCTTCTGCACAAGAAGGTGGATGTTCCCAGGAATCTCAGGAGGGATGGCATACTGATAGCTGTGTTCAGGGAGCTGGTCAAATGTCTCATCTTCAATTCTGTAATGGTGGCTTAGATGCCTGGCTCATGTGTAAACTCTCTCTGTGAATGTTGACATTTACCGAGCTACCTGGTCTGACCTCAGAGCTGGCCCTGATTTGAGCTGGGCATTGGACTCGAGGCTTCCTGAGCTCCCTTTTACCCTGAATTGTCCTATGACATAGAGGCCCTCACCTCCATCTTAGTCTCTTCTTGTAGGGCGTGTTGCAAGGCACAGGCTCATGGAAGGATTGGTGGGGAAGAGACTTCTAGGGGTCTCTAGTCCAGCCTCCAGGCTGGTTGCAACTTTTTAGAGCTGAAACCCGAAGCGCTCCAAAGGTGGAGATCACAGCAATGCTCCTCCTAGTCCATTCTATTTTCCTAAGGCTCAGCCTAGAGCTCCCCAAAGGTAGTTTGTGACTGGTGCCCCTGTCATATCATTGGCCACTGCAGAAGAGAGCTTGGCTCCACCATCTCTGCAGGTAGCTGTTGGCTTTTATTAGGTTGCCCTGTTGTGGGAATAGAATGGAAAATTGCCGAGGAGGATTGTAAATATGCTCAAGTGACTTGCAGCTGAGGTGCCAAAAAACACATATATCACACTAATTGTGGTTTACCTCTGTGTGCTTGACAGGTAGAATGTCTGTGCTTAGATAACAGAGGCCTGTGAGAAACACAGAGGCACCTTATTGAACATCCTTGAGCTTCCTGCCCTGCTGTGGGAAAGATCAAAGCACAATGGAAAAGTAGACCTGTGAAAATCCCAGATATATACAGGCAAAAGCAGCAGGCCTGAGCTCTTTTCTTTTTGATGTAACCACTCTCCCAGTAGATTCCATGTGGGTTCTAAAGAATTTTTGATGTCTATTTTCCTAATTTTTGTCAATCCGTCCACTTTTTTGTTCCAGTTTGTGGCTGGTTTAACGTCATATGCATGAGCTCTCACCCATCCCATTTGCAAGGGTGTTTTTTCTGGCTACGTCTAATCGTAATCACCAGTCTTCAGTTCTCCAGATTGGCCATCTATTCATCTCCCAGTTTCGGGCTTCCCACTGACAAAGCCACTGTGTGGTTGTCCTGGTTTGAGCTCAGAGGGCAACCAAGCACCACACAGCCACTCAGTCCCCTCGTCCCCTCTAGCTCTGGGAAGGAGAAAATTAAACCAAAAAGATTTAGGAACTGAGATAAGGACAGGGAGGGTTGAGTCTCCCATTACGGTCATGGGCAGAAGGCAGACTCATTAGGGGAAGAAAAAAAGAACATAAATTTAAAACAGACACTAACAACAACAACACTTAAGAGACAGAGCAGAATAGTGAGAAGCATTGCTCCATCTTGAGAGCACCTTCTCCCCACCCCTCCCTTCTTCCCGGGCTCAG